TGAGAGAATGAGACGATGGTGAAGCGCTAATTGAGTTTGGCAGTTTATGTAGTGAGAGGATAATTGAGTTTGTTATAGATTTATAGGTTATGTTAAGTTAAAATACTATAGAAGAGGGGTAAAATTTGTTTGGACCTTAACAAATGTGTTTTGAGGGGGTCTCCCTAATTAGCCCTTGTTTAAAACATAAAATAAATACATATTATCGATACAACCATTATCATAAATAGGTCTTAAGATATAGGTCGCTGGTGATAAAATTAATTAAAACTAAATGACAAGTCAAACTGTTTCACATCCTTGAGTAAATTCATTCAAAAAATGCACTCCACTCACAAATTCGAAATTTGCATTAAGTAAAATTCAAACTGCATTTACCATTTTTTATTATGCATTTAATATCTTAATTTTTTCATCTAACATATTACATTTTATTTTTACAGACTTTGTCATCTTTATTTTTTTTGTTTTTCACTATAGCATTTTTTACATTATTATAAACAATTGAATTTTTTTTCCTTATTTTTTAATGTTTATTGAAACTTGCAATTTTTTTTTTCATTTTTGTTATATAATACAAAAAATTTTAAAAATACTATGGTGTACTATGGTATACATAGTTTACTAATATTCAAAATTTTGAATGTTTTAATATGAACCATAGTAATCCGTAGTCACATACTCTTAAAACCCTAGCTCACATTTTGAACCCTAGTCGTTACCCATTCATAGACACCCATAGTAGTCCATAGATAGTCGTAGTCATTCGCACTCATCCAATATGAAACCCTAGATCCGCCACCACCTCCAACTATGAAAATGCATCTCCGAAATCTGCCCATAATCATCGAACCTTTCACCCTCTTCCTCTATGTCTCACTTTCCATCTTAATTAGCCTTCATCTCCTCCAATCCCAATATCAAATTTCGACCAAATATTACCATCCCCACCGAAGAAAATCCGCCGCCCCTTACCAAGATCCGATCAAAAAAACTCCTCCTACAACTAGCACCACTATCGAAAATAGAGCAAGAGAGAGATAGAGAGAGAAGAGTGAAAGGGCTGACGCCAATGAAGAAAGAGAGAAAGAAGGCCATGGTAGGCGGTGTAGAGAGAGAGAGAGAGAGAGAGAGAGAGAGAGAGAGAGAGAGAGAGAGAGAGAGAGAGAGAGAGACGTTGATTTTTATTAGGTATAGTAATGGTATTTTTTGGTCAAATAAAAATAAAAACGATGTTGGACAAAATTATTTATTTTTAAATACGGATTTAACTAAAAGTTTCTATCTGAGGTTGTCTCACATCTAATTAGGTTTGGTTTGAGGATTGTCTCCAATATTAACCCTATCATAAAACATAATTACAAAATAGTTTGTAATGTTTAAAAGCGCGAGCCTGATTTGTAATGTAAATAATGAAATACGATAATACATTGATTTTATATTTTAATTAAGGGCAAAATGGCAAAATATGCCCCTGACAAGATCACTTAATTAAAAAAGGGACATCGAACTTTTTTGTCTTCTAAATAAATCTACGGCATTCAACCTTATTTGCAAATGAGGAAAACCCTTTTATATATACAAAAAATACCCCCAACTTCTTGAAACCCTAATTCAACTTCAATTTCATGATTTACACCCCAATTTAGTCCAATTTCATCAATTAACTAATTTTGACCGCCGGTCTCTGGCGTTGATATTTTTTTTTTTTTTTTTTTTATGTGAAAACTTGTTTTTTCTTACAAAAACTAAATTATTTTAATTAATACTACTGCCTTGCCCTGGTATATTAATGTCCCCGGTAGTAATATTACTGTCGAAGGCAGTAATTTAACTACATGAGACAGTAATTTAACTGCCAGAGCCAGTAATTTTACTGTATTAATTAATTTTATCGTCTTGGTCTGCAATTTTGTTGTCTTCGACCGTAATATTACTATCTCCGACCGTAATATTACTGTCTCCTGCAATAATATTACTGTTTGTGACAATAATATTAGTAATATTGTTGTTCGGGAAAGTAATATTCATAATATTAATGTTCGGGAGAGTAATATTAGTATTCGGGACATTAATATTACTGTTTGGGATAGTGATAATAGCAATACATATTACTGTTTGAGTCAGTAATAGTACTGTTTTGGCATTCAATATTACTATCTCAGACAATAATTTTGTTGTTAACACAATAATTTAGAGAGAAAAAAAAGTTTCAAAAATAAAAAGAAAATAAATAAATAATTCAACGCCGGCATCTTGCCGGAATAAAAAAAATTCAGAAAAAAAATTATTTTCTGAAAAAAAATTAAAAAAATTATGAAAATGAGGTTAATGTGATATATTTTTTCAAATTCGGGGTCAGTGTGAAATATTGATGAAGTTAGAGTATAATGGATTGAATTGATAAAAATTATATTATGGAGAGTATTTTAAACCAAAGACATGGAGATAAATTTATTTACTAGACTGATTTTTGTCTCAACCAATTTGCATTTAAGTCCCTTGTCATGGACCTATTTGTCATTCGCCCTTTAATTAATCTCTTTATAGAAAAATTCTTCTTTCATTTAACAATTTAACCACCTCTAATACATGTCCGTAATTTTCTTTCTATAACCTAATGCATACATAAGAGTTAAGCTTGAAAAACTCAAATTGTTCCTGAGAATATGGTTCCAATAAATCCGTCGGGATAGCTATAGCGGAATGAGAATCGTGGCTGTGTTTATTGTTCCAGGATAAAATGTTTTTTGCCCTTCTCTTAATTAATTGTACTATTTTGGTGACATATCTACTCATCGTCTTAATTTTGTTTATGTTGCAGTGTAGTAGATCAATCATCTTTTCATTTTAAAGTAATTTTCCATGGGGTTTAATACCCTGGATTAGATGTATAAACACATAGCATATGTGTATAATGGAAGGGAGTGAAGATGAATGTTTATTCATTTTTGTTTTGCAATTGATTGATTTTTTAGACTAAAGGTTATGACGCTGCTGTCTTGATTCAATTATTAAATAACCTTTGGTTTCGAAGATGTCGAGGACGAAGGTAAATTGGAGAAGATGGTATTTTTGTAGTTGTATTCGCTCGAATTTATAATAGTTTTGTTCAAATTGTGGGTAATTTTTTTGTAGTTGATTTCGATATTATTGTAGTTGTTTACTTGTTTTTGTTAATTTTATAGTTATTTTCAATTTTTCGTAGTTGTTTTGTTTTTTTTTAGTTCATTTCGACATTTTTATAGTTGATTTCAACAATTTTATAGTTGATTTCGATTTTGGTAAACCTGATAATTCAAAATCACTATTTTTATAGTTGTTTTACATTTTTCTTATATTTTCTTTAATTGGTTCGGGGAAAAACAAAACGAAAAAAAGTTCTTTTCAGTAATTTATAGTTGAGGTTGGAAAAAAAAGAAAAAGGTAAAAAAATAAATTTTAGTTAATTTTGGAAATATTGTAGATGATTTCAGAAATTTTATGGTTGTTTTCGAAATTTTTTACAGTTGATTTAAAAGACAAAAACTGAAAATTATGGTTGATTATAGAAAGAAAACAAAAATATTCAAAATAAATTAAAAGGTTCTTTTTAAATGAAAAAAAATAATTGATTTCATAATTTTTTAGTTGATTTATGGAATAAAAAACAAAAAAAAAAAAAAAAAAAAAAAAACTGATAAAAATAAGATTACATTTTTTATTTTCTATGAGAATTTTTTTCTTATGAAAAAATATTATTATTTTTAAATAATTTAATAAATAAAGAATTGAAATTAAAATAGAATATTTAAATAAATATAAAAATGCATGAAGTAATGAGTAGTGGGGTAATATTGAAAATGAGGGTGAATCCATACCCTAATATTAAACAGACGAAATGGAAAATAAGATGAGGAAAGTTAAAGGGAAAAAAAAAGTTTCGTTCTGCATAGAGTAGAGGTGGATTCTTTTTTACCAAATTGCCCTACCGAACCCTACCGTTTCTCTACCGAAATATTTCTACCGAATTATTATCATACCCTGCATAGAGTAGAGGTGGATTCTTTTCTACCAAATTGCCCTACTGAACCCTATCGTTTCTCTACCGAAATATTTCTACCAAATTATTATCATACCCTATCGTACCCTACCGTACCGAAATGTTTTGGTAGAACAACAACACTCAATATTATTAAAATGGTATTACCCTATTGTACCGAAATATTATTAATAAATAAAATTTTATTTTGATAACTAATTTATTATATATAAAAAGTGAACATAGTATTCTAACTAACTACTATTAGTTAAAATTAATTATACTCTTTAGGTATCTCAAAAATATTTTAAGTTGCTTTCATTAATAATGATATAATCGATATTAAAAGCTTTTATGTTATAATTTTGTTTACCAAATATTTCATATTAGGTACATTAAGAACATATATTTAGAATACTTATATCATAAAAACTAGTTTTGAACAGTTTAAACATGTATATACCTTGAATTGCTTTGAAAAAGTGATATAGTTAGACTTAAATAATAGATAAGCCAACCTCATTAGTAGAGTTGGTACATAACCTTTACCAATAGCGTAAATATCTAGGGTTCGAGTTCTCCCCTCTCCTACTTCCCCTTGAAATGGACTCGAATTTACTAAAAAAAAATAGTAGATAACATAAATTAGTAATTTCCATTACGATACCCTACCGTACGGAAAGTTTGGTATACCGAAATCGGTATACCAATATTTTTGGCAGAGCAATGGTAATGGATTTCATAATACCGAAATTTCGGTAATGGTAGTAATTCGAGGTGGTTTGTTACGGTTGCCCTACCAAACCCACCCTTAACTATAGAGTACTAACATAGGGTGACGACAATGCTGATGTGAAGTTTCCAAGTTTTGTTCTTCCCATGTACTCAATCGTATGTCCACCCATCTTTTTCATATATATTGAACACAACTTCAAAAGCAAACCACTAATTTAGGACTACCACAATTTAAAAAAAAAAAAAGAAAAAAAAAAAATCCATTACTATTCGCGAGTGATAACTGATACCAGAAAAGTGGAAATCGATCAACACAACTTAAAAACCAATTATATATATCCTTTACGGATATAGAAATAACAACCTGCTAAAACGGCTGAATAAGATTTGATACGACAAATAGAACATTTACAAATGAACAAAACATGATGGTTGATATTAGAAGCACTGGTAGAGTATGCTACTCTTACTCTGCTCTAAAAACGTCAGCCTTATTATCAACTCTGGCAGTGGCAGAGCTCGAAGATTCTCCCATAACATCAGGCGAAGCAGCAGCTGCATTCGCTGATGTCTTTTTCAACGATGTAGGCAAACCAGATATTTCCTGGATTTAATAATACACAGACAATTTTCAAAAATTCAGAAAAAAATCTTGTATGTTTTATTAAAGCTTAGTGGGTGTGTAGCTTTTCGTCGTTCCACATCATAACTCAATCTAAAATTTTAAATATAGTTACATAATCAAACCATGGTACATTTGTGGTGTCTGCTTCCTTCCCAAATTCAAAGAATTGTCACATATTCACACAGCTTTTGGTTTGCTTTCGTATGACCTAGTTAACTTCGTTACATAAGCTATTCATCCTAGACTTTGATTTCAAACAAATTCATACGTAACGCAACGAATTACTAGTACTCATGTTCCATTATGTTGTAATAATCAACAGTAGTACTTACCAATAGACTCAGGTAATGAGAGACACACATGCAGGGGGAGAGGATAACCATGTGCAAGAAAAGGCAACATAATTCACAGATTTTGAAAATTAATTTATGATCCAATTGTAGCCTAAGGTCCCGTTTGGTTGCCTAGATAAGCCATGATTTAACTAAATAGTTGGACTTAATTTGATGTTTGGTATCCCCAATAAATTGCTGGGTCGACCCGCCAAAATTATATAATCATTACTTATCTTGGCTTATCTTGCCTTCTAATGAGTATTTTGTGTTGGATGTTGCAAGCTCCAATAAAATAATTGGGTTTCATTAGATTATTTTATCTTATCTTGGCTAATCTTATCTTCTCAATCAAACGGGGCCTAACAGTATAGCAAGATTCTTTGCTGCCTAATTTTGATTCGTTCGACCAGGTGACTAATATCATGGCAAAGGTGATGGTATCTTTAGTTTCTAAAGTGAAAATATTCAAATTTCAAAACGCTAAAAATAATGACCAAACATTTTCATCTTCTGTTTCAAACTCCCAAGAACATAAGCAATATATTGGTGTTAAACCCCGTCACTAAAGCATATTCAGATCTACCTTTTCATAAACACATTAAGGTAGTTTCTATTCCTTCGTTGAATGAACTATCTTTTGCTCATATATCAGTTTTCTACGCCTGAGGACAAAATTTCAAATCCCCAAAACCCTCCAATACTAGTTTAAAAAAAGAAAAGAAAAGAGGGATAAATAAGAGTGAAATAACGGAATACCTTCATTAAATGCATCCGTAAGTCGCATGGCCGCACCTGATTTCCAATACATGCAAGAGCAAATTTTGAATATTGAAAGAGGACATCTGCAGCAGCTTGCTTCTTCTCTTCAATCTGCAGTGGCATTTTGTGGTCATGATTTAATAAGATATACAACCGAAGAATAGTTCAATGGAAAGCAGTCTAATAGCTAAAACATCTAATTCTTCATACGAACATTGAGAGTGACATTTAGGCATCGTTTGGTTGCCAAGATAAGATTAAATAATCTAATATAACCCAGTTGTATTATTTTACTTTGGAAGGTCCAATAAAAAAAATGCCTAGAAGGGAGGATAAACCACGATAACATAATATATGCGGGTCGACCCAGCAAGTTATTGGGAATACCAAACATCAACAAAGTCCAACTATTTAGTTAATAGTGGCTAATCTTCCCAACCAAACAAGGCCTTATAGTATTCAATATGTTACATACTCCTTAATTTATGCCTTTATCAACAGTTGGTATTTTTAGAGTATACTTTTTTACCGACTTTCCGACTTGTGTTCTTGCAGAAACTGCATTCTTGGAACAGGTTTATGCACATCAACTATCATTCTTACTCTCATTAATCAGCACATAGAGGCCTCGTTTGGTTGCCAAGATAGGAGTAAATAATCTAATAAAACCCAATTGTTTTTTTGGATCATTGCCTAAAAGGCAAGATAAACCATGATATCATAATATTTGCGGGTCGACCCGGGAAGTTATTGGGTATACCAAACATCAAACAAAGTCTAACTATTTAGTTAATCATGGTTAATCTTCCCAACCAAACGAGGCCAAAGGCAACGAATACTTGTGAAAATGCTTAAGCTGTAAATCACAATCATCTCAAGATTTAAAATATTCAAGAGTCGAGAATTGTCCTCTGAAAAACTTAAACATCAAATAACTTTAGAACCTCGGCACTAGAGAAGCAATTTAGCACGGTTAGATTCACTACCAAATTCGTAGTCTTCATGAAATTAACTTATCAATCACAAATCATGTCTTATTTTCAATGTATCAAAATTATATCTTGCACTACTATCAGGCCTCGAGCCTGATGTAACAAAAAGAAACGAACAGCTGAAAAAAAGAAGGCCATTGTATAGTTTTCGATCATGCCCATACAACAAACGAGCGTATTTCACTCACACCCCGACATCCTAAATTACCAAAAATACCAACAATTCCATTAACTTGAGATAGGGGTATAGGGCAATGATTGACCTATACGACTTTGTCGATCTTACGGTTGCAATTGATTGACTATCTGCCAGGGACTATGAAATACACATGTTTTATCAGCAGTAACGAATGGGCAAAGTAAACCCTAAAACCCCAAATTCGCCCACCCGAAGAAAACTCAAATTGAAATTAAACTAATAGATTTTAATTCCATAGATACAGATACGTGCACCAAAAGATAGTATGAACAAAGGCAATTCGACACAGAATCATCATACAATACAACAAACCTAAAAAAATCTCCAATGCAAAATTGAATTATTAAAAAATTACAGAGCTAATTTTATGATTTATGAACCATCGGTAAGTAATAGTATATATAGTACAGATACCTCGTAGTCTTTCATGGCTGGAACTCAGAATACACGAACTACAGAATACTCTTCTCAATTTTTCATTTTTTTTTTTTTTTTCGTTCTTTTTCTGATAAGAACTCTTCTGAAGTATTTGTGTAGAGTAAACTGCAAAAACTACCCCTGTATAATCTCGAAATAGCAAAAACCCCCCTGTGATAAATAAACTAGCAAAAACCTCCCCTGTGAAATTATTTAAATAGCAAAAACCCCCCTATGGAACTATTTGAAGGTTGACTTGATATAAAAAGACACAAATACCCCTGGAGTCTTGCAATTAATAAATTCTTATATCTTATAATTATTTTAATTATTTTATTTAAAAAATAATCAATTTAGTTGTTTACTATTTTTTTTAATTTCTAAACAAACAAATTAAAAAGAAGAAATATACATACAATATGTATATATATAAATACATTTTGAGGGACAATTTTGTCATTTCAAGTCTAAAAAATCAGCTAGGGGGATTCTGCCTTTGACTAAATTTCACAGGGGGGTTTTTGCTAGTTTATTTATCACAGGGGGGTTTTCGCTATTTCGAGATAACACAGGGGTAGTATTTGCAGTTTATTCTATTTGTGTAGTTACATTTTTTTACATCTATATGTGCTGCCTAATTCCACTTTCTTATTTTATTTTTTTCACTTTTCTCTCTAAACAACGTCGTTTCGTGGTATTTCTTACACACCCTTGCAAATTTTTTTTTTTTTTTTTTTTGGCTTAATACCACTTTTCACTCTTGAAATGTGGCATTTTGACATTTTGGCATTTATATCATTAACCAATATTTATAGCACTTTGTACTCTCGAAACACAATGAGTCATGTATAATGCACCCCTAATGAATTTTTAAAATTTAATGAGGGTAATTTCATGTTTATTTTTGCACTTTGTAGTTTCAAAAGGATTGATGGATATATAAAAAATTGATTTGACATTTGACATCCTTAAAAATACGTAAAAATATAAAATTGCCTTCATTAGCTTTAAAAATTCATTGAGGATGCATTATGCATGACTCATTGTGATTCGAGGGTGCAAAGTGCTATAAATATTTTTCGAGGATGCAAATTGCCAAAAAACTATATTTCAAGGGTACAAAGTGCTATAAATATTTTTCAAGGGTGCAAAGTGCCAGCAAAATGTCATCAAACCATTTATTTTTTCTATTTTATTTTCTTTCCGTCGGTGCTTGATTGCGGTCGGGCAGGGTAAGGATAAACGCATTCTTTTAACAATCATTTCAATGAATGTTTAAAAAAAATCGTGTCCATCTTCATGAAGAGTTTCATTATTTCCTCGAAATGTCAAGTTCTGTTGTACAAGAGTTCGCACGAGAGCAATTATCCTTACTATACTTGTCGCCAGTAGTCCTTTTCTCTATTGAGTTGTTCTTGCAACCTTTTATTAATTCTTCTTTTTCAATCTCATCACCAATTAATCGACTTGCCCATACAAATAAAATGTTCTCTGCTACCTTCGTGACTCTTTAGCCTGCTAGCAAGGTTTTTCCAGTCATTTATACCTTCAGCTGCTATCGAGCCTTGTTTTCTTTTTGTTTGAACAATTTGCAGCAGAAACAAAATATTTTCTCCACAAATTTTGAATAAACTAACCATTTTCTATCTTGCTTCTCTCCATTTGGTAATTTTCGAACTTACCGTACATGCAGGAAATGTCTATAAGAATCGTCAAGACGGTACTGAAAGTCATCATCGACATCCCTTACTGAACCTCGTTCAACTAACAAATCTACCATCTTTTGATCAAGTTTGTTCCAATTGGTTGGATCGTTCAAATTCAAACTTAGTGGTTGATTGTCGATATGTTCAATTGGACCACTCTCATTCTCAATACTCGTACTCTACAAGAGCTTTTCTTGGTTACCATTACCCAAATTTTCTATTGTCTCATGACCATTCTCATTCTCGTTCGCCAATTCTTCTACTATTTTCAATATTTTTAACTTTGTTTCTAACAAAAAAATTATAGATATCTCCTCCTTGAGATTGGTTAATCTTGTCTCCTTTTTGTTTTTTTTTTGTTTTGGTCGCACCCCGAAAGATATCTTCTTGGGTGCTCATAGTCGATGAGTTCACTGAACTTCCTTATCCTAGAATCTCTAAGTGGTTCCCATTAATCGAGTATAGGTTCTCTGATTATAGTTGTATACACCATTACTACTTATGACCCAATACGTCATTGCGACTTCATTGAGGATCAGTTGTGCTGTGACCTATCTCTAAGTCTCCTGAAGACCGCTCCAAGGGCTAGCATTCGGACATTCCGACATCTAGTGTGAGTTTATGCATTGTAGTTAGAGATTTGACCGCTTACATAACTGCATGGATGTCCTATGTCTTATTCAAGTACATCGTCCAAGGAATCTTCGACCCAGGTAGCAAGTGTGGTGATTTGATAAAGGGGTTTCTCTAAGTCACCCACGAATGGACTTTATAGCTTTAGAACGATTGCATAGTTATTGAATAGTTGTAGAAGTCTCGGAGCACCAATGTCTCTAGTTCGACCGGAACATATGTTTTGTCAAATTGACCATATATATCGTACGCAAACTATAATTCAAGTTCATGCATGCATTCCATTTGTATCTTGGGAATCATGACACATAGTTGCTAGACGTCACTCATGATTCATTGGGCATTAACCAATATGATCGGCGATATATTTTAATCTTAATCGAGACAATTGAATCGAATCTGTAATCGAATAAAAAGTTATTCGCGTCACAAAGAGCTGTGGCCCACAACTAGCTTACACCTGAATCATTAAGGGTCAACTTCTTGTGGAGAGGATTTTTTAACATGGTGAACTAAGATTAATTAGTTGATTTTAGTTAAATCGGAGTTCAATGTGATTGAATCTAAAACTCATAATATATAGTCAATTGTGATTATTACAAGAAGAGGAGGAAATCATTTTTATACATTTTAAGTGAACTTTCTAAATTGAGGTTTTTCCAATTTAGCAAGTACCACTGAAAAGAAGTGTTCAAAAGTGGTAAAATTAAAAAAATGCAATATAATACATGAAATAACGAGGAGATTATAATCGCTACAAATATATAATTGTTTTATTTTTCAGAGCTGCCATTTGAGAGTTATTAAGAATCTAAGAATGAGTTGTAAAAGGTTCTTAATGGGCTTGGGCTATTTCAATTATTGAATAATTAGGATACTTAACCTACAGATTAAATAAATGGGTTTTTGTGCATAAGTCCATAACCAACTATCTTTATTATGCTAGGTTTAGGGGCTATATCTATTTCACAAAAGCTCATCCCTTTAATATTTATTATAACAAAAATTACCGCCAATCCTTTACACTCAATTTCTAATTGTAACCCCAATTTAATCAATTTTGACTTTTTTTTTCAAAAAAAAAATTTGCCGCCGGTTTTCGGCATTGATTTTTTTTTTTTGTCGTATTTTTTTTTCCGCCTCCGGATTCTGGCGTTGACCGCCGGTTACCAGGTTGACTTTTATTTTTATTTTTTCTATTTTTTTTTAACGCCCGTTTCTTAATGTTGACGGTAATTGTGCTGTTATTAACGGTAATTGTACTGTCATTGACAGTTGACAGTAAATAAACGTAATTATACTGTCACTGACTGTACATTAACGTAATTGTACTGCCGTTGACAATACATTTTTGTAATTGTACTACCGTTGACAGTACAATTAGAGTCAATGACAATATTAATACTCATTTTTTTGTTATTTTTTAAATTCTTTTTGATTTGTTTTAAAGAAGAAAAAAAAATATCGAAAAAGTCAACGCCGAAAACCGGTGGCGGAAAAATCAGGAATTAAAAAAAAAAAAAAAAAGGTCAACGGCGGTTGACCGCCGGCGACGGACGAAATTGTCCATAAAATGTGTTTTGGGTCAAAATTGAATAATTTGTGAAATTGGGGTCAAATTGAGGTTAGATTAAATTAAAGGATGAAATTGGAGCATATTAAAGTATGAGGGGCTATTTTAGTTTTTTACAAACTTCTGGACCATGTGTGCACTTTTTTATAAAAGAGTTTATTATGTGGACCTCTTTATAATAAGTACTCATTGATGGACTTATTTAGAAAGTGCCCTCAATTATACCTATATTAATAAGAGTCTTGAGATAAAGAATTAACACACAACAATCTCTCTCTCTCTCCCCCATACAGTCGGCCGCCCCTCTCTCCCTATTCGGCCGCCGTCGCACCACCACCGTACGCCGCCGCCATCGTCGCCGGAAAATTATTTTTCCTCGTTTTCTTCCATCTGTTAAACCTATAGTTTTCAAGTGCAAGCTATTTGGTGTATTAATCTCTTTATGGTGAAATCCAATTTCGATGAAGAAGGGTTGCAAGAATTGCTTCTAAGAAGCTTGTGTTCAACGGATATTTAATCAAACACTTTTATTTAATTAAAAAATAAATTTATTTGATTATTCGTCTATATGATTCGCATGATTTCTTTTATTCATTTTTAAAACTAAACACATGATTATGCATGTTAATAAATTAAGCTTTATTGATGAATTTAATCGTTCATAGAATATGTATGAAAAATTGTTTTTAAATTTTGGGTTAAATACAGTTTCCACCTTTAAATTACAAGGTTGATAACACTTACTTCTTAAAGTTATAAATGTAACACTTATCCCCTCCCCCCCTAAAACGATCACGACCATAAAAGTTCTATTTTTTTCCACCACCGTCCGCCATAAAACATAATCGGCTCCATGCCATCCAATTAATTCATCGTTTTCTTCTCCCCTTCGCCCACCAAAATCTTCAAATTGTAGCCTCAATTTCTATAATCAACAAAAAAGGTTCTATGAAACAACTCATTTCGTGCATGTTCAATGGAAAATGCTAAAAGAAAATGGTATCGTTGTAATAGCTTGTGACCGGTGTTTTGCCTTCTTACTTTTATCATTTCTATTCCAATCATAACATCTATATTATAACATTTTATATATTCTATTATATATGTGGTTTGGCTCATTTTGTCTCTTTCCAAAATTAAGATACTTTTTCATTATTTTAATATATTTACTTTACAAGCCCGTGTCCAGTATCTGCGACAAATAGCAGTTGGGTCTCTAATTATACATGGCATGCAAAATTTAAGCAGGCCCCGTTGGAGCTGGATTATTTGTTCCTAGCAACTGTATATCATGCAATTTAACTATTAGCAGTCCAAAACAGTCAACGTTGGAGATGGCCTTATGTATGTCGGGATAGCATGTAGAACCACTTTAATAAGTGTCTCCTTCCTCACTTTCGAGAGTTGTTTTTAGCCCCACCCTTTAATTCTGGTCGAAACTCTATCCGATTGATAACCAAAAATCTCATTTTTGATGCAACCAATCATCGCCGACATCCCCAACTATTTTCCATGGATGCCAATGATTCAGAACCGGAGAATGTGTATGACCTATTTTAATTTATAAATTCGTGATATTGTACTAGGTCGTACTTCAAATCAATGACTAATCATTTAAATTCAATCGCTTATTATCCGAGAAGTACAATCTGACTCGGACCCTGGACAACCACTTGTTTGTGGGTTCAAAAACAATATTAAGCGTAGTCTTCTCATGACATAAGATAACTGTGCTTAGTCTTTCTTGGGGCTGATTAGAGTTCGCATTGACAGAACTAAAAAAGAACATGTATCATATGTAATATAGCACACAACAAAAAGTTTGATTCTATGAGATCAAGAACTGTTAGACTTTATAAATAAATAAATAAAATTGACGAAGATCAATCAGCTATGAAACTTTCTAACTCTACAGGTAGGTACTCCAAAACAAAACTGATACATTTATACAAACAATTAACAAGAAGAAAGAGAGGCTGGCAATGAAATGATGACAATTATAAAACTAGTATATACATGATAAAACATTTTTTTTCCTAATTGATATTTCCGCGGAATCTATTTGTAATTAACTAGTTTATGAATTCTCCAGTCATCAATTACTTGGAGCTTTTCGTTTTCTTTTCAGACAAAGCAGTTTTGGCGAGTGCAGAGGGAGATAATACACTTTTCGGATTGAATGCCTTTCGTATTTTAAATACAGTCCATGCAGTTCCTACTGCATGACCTGCAGCATCCAGTCCCTCACTTGTTGCCTTAGCTGCCTCTTCCCCATACCTTCATAATAGAGAAGTAAAATAATCAAAATTCACATTCATCTTTATTTCGTACCACTAAGGCCTCGTTCGAGAATGTTGATGACATTGATAAGATTTTATTGAATTGGATAGCATTAATTATACTGTGCATGATAATATCGTATCTGATAATCTTATATTTTCGTTGTATTTAGCTATGTAGCACGAACATGGAAATGGTGATACGCGGAAACGGGGAAACGGCATATCCGAAAAATGGGGATACGGGAGCTTCAGGGTAACGTGTAAATATTAGTGCTATATAAACATATACAAGTTTTTATTTATATATAAATTCTTTTTATATATATTTTGATACAAACATATTCAAAATAAATCTTACTATCAACCATCAATTTGTAATTGATGATTAAATTGTTTCAATATTTAGGGAAGCAACAGCAATATTTGAAAAATAGCTATTTAAACATATTTTTGACTTTTTACAAATTGCAAAATGACCCATAAGGTGTCCTCGAGTGTCCGACACGAAACGTGTCCGAAACAATAAGAATTATGTTTTTCCATGCTACATACTGAAAGCCTTCAAAGGAATGGTGTAATCGTAACGTTTAAGTTTGAATAGATATTCTTTATATATGTTTTTATTTAAATTTGATACAGCTAATTTTCAATCATAGAGTTAGAATCTAAATCCCAAACACAAAACTGATGAATCTGTGCAGAATCAAGAAACGAAAGTTACCTGTGGGAGACAAGTCCAGTCGTCACGGTGGAAGAGGTTGACATCACATTCTTTCCGGCTATTTCAACAGCGTCGCAAATTCTGCCTGTTATCAGAAGATTATACGTCAATAAAAATCTCAAACTTTTGCTTGTTATCAAAAGATAATATGGCAACAAAGTAGAGATAAAAGATGTTTTTTGACATACTAAATCCGTCGAGAGAAGCAAGGGCAATTTCCCCGGGCAACAAACCAAAGAACTTCTTTCCTACTTTAGAGTTTGCAACGGAACCAGTAAAATATCCTGAGACCTTCACCACTCCCGAAAGTACTCCGATCGCCACTTTCTCCGTCATCTTAGTCACCCTCTTAACCCTGCACATTATAATCATTAATACTTTCATTTTCTCACAAACTAAGAGGGTGTTTGGCTAAGCTTATAAGATGTTAAAAGGAGCTTATAAGATGTTTTAGAGCTTATAAGCTCTTCCATAGTGTTTGGTAAATTTTGAAAAAAAAAAAAATCTTAATTTTTTTTTAAAATGAAGAGCAAATAAGATCTTTTTAAAAAAGTACATCTTACCCTACCCTACCTTTTTATTTATTTATAATCTTATAATGAGTTAAAAAAAATAAGCTTGTTATCCAAACACTCTAAAAATTAATAATAAGAATAAAATGTACCAGCTTATAGTTCTTAAAACATTTTATCAAAAGTCCAGTAATACGATTGGGTTTCATTAGCCTATTTAATCTTATCTTGGCTAATATTATCTTGACAATCAAACGAGGCCTAAGATAACGGAGAAGCAAACCTTTTGATCCTCTTCAAGATTTCAGGATCGACTTCAGCGTTAACTCCGGGAGCCATCCTCTTCTTCATAACCTCGTTTCCCCATTTCAATCGATCCATAGTTACATCTCCACACCATAATATTCCCTTAACCAGCTGTCCAGATCCCGCTGCAATAAGCCTCGCAGCTGTCCCACTATACTCTTCGACATTCGGCGCCAATGTCGTCCAATATGCTGCACACTGTCCCTCCACCTCTGCCTTCTTCTTCTCGTCTGTTTCCAATTCCCTTACGCTTATTTCCGCTTCTGCCCCTGCAACTTCCCCCACCGTCTTTTCGTCCACCTTCTGCACCGAAAAATTACTGTAATTTTCGAGAATTTTATCCAATTCGTTCGGCGACCCTTCGTTCCCCTTCGACAGTATCGTTAATCCGTAGCTCAAAACCTCGGTTTCTTCTTTATTTTTTTTGTTTTTTGTCTTATTCTTATCCTTTTTCTTCTTGTTCTTCTTCTTCTTCGATTCCCTGTCTTCGTCGCTGGAATCGGAATCTTCGTTTTCGATTGGGGCACTGAAGGAGAAGAAATAGTGGGAGGAGTCCAGCTTGACGGCGGCGAGGTCTTTGGTTAACGGCCACTGAATGTCGTCGGCGACGGCGGCGAGAATGGCGACGGTGTTGTCGCCCTGGCGGAGGCGGAGGATGCGGAGATCTCCGGTGGCGAGCTCGACGGAGTAGTGCTTGTCGATTAGGTGGAGGATGGTACCGGGAACGGTGAGGAGGGATTCCTCGACGGATTCCGGAGGAGCGGATGGGTGGTAGGGTTGCGCTCCGTCGTTGGAATCCGGGAAGAGATTCTCCAACAGATCATCCATGTCGATTTTAGGGTAAAGGGACGAAGAGGAAGATGATTGGGGAAGGGGAGGGGCGGATGGTTGATTTGATTCGATGATTTGGGGGTACATTGGGGTTCGATTAGGGTTAGGGTCTTGGGACGCCATTGGAGATCAGATTTGAGCTCTTTTTTCCCTTTCACGGTGAGACTGAAGAAGAAGAAAAAAAAATGATATAATAAATAAATAAATAGTTAAATAAAATAAAGGACACGTTCAGTTCATTGGTACGCGTGGAAATGACAATTGGAGTAATTCAATTAAGAAAGCTCCCGCGGGAACACCGCTTTTTCCATAGTTTAAAGAGTAAAAATCAGTTTAACCCCTAAACAAGATCCGTTTTACGTTTTGCCCCCCAAACATTTTTTTTGTTGCATGGTGTCCTAAAAATGGTATATTCCGGCAAAATTCATCGGAATTATGAACATGTGAGCCACACGTGAGATTAACAAGGTTAAAATTGTCTTTTCACTTCCAACTTGGGTGGTGGGGTTTAAATTCCCCCATTTCTCCATCTTTCTTTCGTTTTTTCTTTGTTTTTTTTTTTCTTTCGATTTGTTTTCTTCCTTTCTTTTCCCTGATTCTAATTAATCTTTCTCATTCATCACTTAATAAGGGTGTAAATCGGACGGAATGAATTAGAAATGGCTTTTTCGAAAAATTTCTAATTTTTTTGGAAAGTAAAAACTGCGTTCTAATTTCCGTTCCGAAAAAATCGGAATGCAAAAATTCATTCCAATTTCGAAATGCCTCGAAATCGGTGGAATTTCGGAAATTTCGGAATTTATATTACTTTATAATCTCTTGTTCCAAATTCGGGTATAATAGAAATTTTCTAAATATTTTGCTATCTTTTTTAAATTTTTGCATGAAATTGCAAGAAAATCCAAAAGAGAATTCCACAAAACGTAATAAATAAATATACATGTAGGAATAATAATGCAACAAATTTTTTTTCATAAAATGATATAAAATTGTTAGTATGATAACGAGTTATAAAGTGATGTTTGGTTAAACTTATAAGCTGTAAAAAATAATATATATAATATATATAATTAATTAGATAAATACTTTGTATTTATATATATACAAATTTTTACACTTTATCGTACCTTTTTATTTGAGCTTTTGGTGTGTTTTAACGATAATTGGTGCTTAAAAAGTTAATTTATTGTATTTTAGGTACAAATTGAAGAATTGGAAAAGTATGGGGTCAAAACTGCAATTTTGGAGCAAATATGGGCCAAAAGTGAAAAAAAAAATCAAAATTCTAAAGATTTAAAGCTCGGACGGCTGTCCGAGTTTTAATTCAAATTGTGGGACGGCCGTCCGAGACCCCGAGACAGCGCAGTAAAGAGATTTTAATTGCACAAGGAAACTGTCTTCTTCCCCAAGTTCTTCACCCTATATAAGACCAACCATGCCAAGCACACAATCAGAGATCTTTTTACGCAATTTCGAGAGCAACAAAACAATAACGAAGACGAAGAATTCGAAGACTCTAAGCATAGATTTATCGTTTATGACTTATTTTAGTTGTGTTTTTCCTTTAATCATGAGTAGCTAATTTTCTAATTTCTAGGATTTTATTTGGAACCCTATGTGGGATTTATGAACCCAATTCTATGATTTTATGCAAGTTTTAATTCCAAATTATTTCTTCTACTTGTTTTTGTAAGTTCATGAATTTGATCACCTTATGTGCTTTTATGTTATTGTTAATCGCATGAATCGGAAGATCGAGTTAGTAATTAGAACTGTGGTAGAAGAGCCTTTGTGGTATTAACATAGGAATATAGTTAATCTTTTAGGTAGCCATTATTAAGATGTGTGCTTAATGCTGTGTTGAGTCGTTCAAAAAAGAATAACGGCCCACGATAGGACATGTGGTCCCCGATTCTTTGTATTCCAACCTACAGCGAATCGAGAAGCAAAACAAAACATATATATATGAATAGACACGAATCAAGAGAATAGAGCAAAAGTAAATGAAACCGAACGAGAAGTTGTCTGCTTGATTGAGTCGAGCGGGGCAACTTACTGAACATTAAATGACAAGAATAAATAATTTTTAAATCATTTATATTCGTCGGCACCATTGGATACAATATTTAGAAAATGGTAACATAATAATTAGCATTGATTAAGTTATTTTGCGTTGTATTATTTAAATTATTTTGATAAACCTCAAACTCATTTAAATTGGGATAAATAATTTTTAAAATATTTATATTGTTACCACCACTAGATACAAGATTTTATAAACTATGTGAACGGTAAAATAAATAATTTTCATTTTTTAAAGTTATTTTTCGGGTGAAATATGTGCTTTGAACTATTTTAATTTCTTAGACCAACCAAAACTCATTTAAATTGGGATACATAATTTATAATTTATATTTCATTACCATGACTAGATACAAGATTTTAGAAATGGGTAAACGAAATATAATAATGTGCAAATAATAATTTTTATTTTAAAGTTATTTTCAAATAATAATGGGTAGCCTCACACACTATTTATTCATATCTTAAAATTTATAATACAATAATACCCTTAATAAAATTCCTCTTTTTATTGGATAGAATAATTTAAAAAAAAATAGTTCGAATACTTTATTATAGATAACAATTGAAAACCCAATCATTTTTTTAATAATTTAGAATGTAAAGGGTTATCCAGCGTTGAAACATATATAACATAAAAAATTGGAGCAACTTAATTTGAAACTTAAATAGGAAAAAAAATGCATATGATACATTGATATAGTCAATTGTACAGAAATTAGTTTGCATTTACTATTTGATTTGATTTCATCGAATTTGAGGTACATATTTATTAGTCCTTGATGTAACATGTCTTGGTTATTTATATATTACAAATTATGCATTGACATGTTTATTTTCACTATATGCATATCACTTGCTGTATTTTTTCTTCTATAATGTTTGTACATACATTCGGACACATCTAATTACTTTTTTTCGAAAATTATGTCAATCTTCTATAATGTTTGTACATACATTAGGACACATCTAATTACTTTTTTTCGAAAATTATGTCAATTTTTATTGAAGTATTATGTATAACATCTTATTACTGGACAGAGACAATGAAAATGTGCTACTTTCAATTTATGTAGGTGTTTATGCAATTTTATGATTGGCTTTAGAAAGCATCATTTGGAAGCATCATTTGAGTGATATTATTGCAATGGATTGATGTGTTTAAACATTGTGGGTCTAAAAGGTTTTGCATTTATTTATTTTCATACGTTGTTTATAACCATATAGAGTGAGGATTGTGTTTTGTTTTGTTTATTTTACAATAATTTATCTTCATTCAAAAAAGAAAATCCCGTGCACCGTACGGGTGAATACTAGTATTATAAATTTCGATGTTCATTTATTTGTAAATATATAAAGAGAATATTTGAACAGACGGGACACCGATTGCATCTTTTACTTCCACTTTTAATTATTCAACAACTCCAAGAAAGAATTTCAAAATGTTAAGATGAAAGTCCGAATCTCCATGGGAGCAAGCTCGACGATAAGGCTCGACTTGTCCAAAGGGCCGCCTCTAATCGGGGCAAAAGGCTCACCGCTCTCACTTTTACCTTCCACTTTCCAAGTCTTCCTCTTCATCTCAGACTTGTCTTGATTTGCCGATAAGCTCGTTTCCTTAACACCCTTTATCTGAAACGAGAATTCAAAACAGATAAATACAATATAGTCAACCTTAAGTTGTCGAGAACCATCAAAAAGGTTTTGTCATTTAAACTATTGAAAAGAGTAGTAAAAATGGAAAACTTAAAAATGTAAATAACCGGAGAATATCTACAAAAGTGCAACTAAAACAGTATCAAATTCCTTACCGCTTTTCCAGCAAACAACTTTTTCAGTTCAACTTTGGCGAGTGTTGAGTAATCCGGGTCTTCACCACCCTACAACAAAATCAAAATCAAGATTTCGTAATATATAAAGACAAAAAAATGATTTCCATATAATCGAGTTGAGATTTTCTCTATGTATATCCTGATATTCAACAAGCTTTAATTTTGCCCTAATATTCTAGGAGAATTTCCCGCTCTCAAATGCAAACGATAAATGCGTTCTCTAACGTACCGAGACAAAATTTTGAAACTATAATGCAAGACGTTATTTTCTTAAAATTAGGGTGTGCGCTCGTAATACCTATTCGATCAATGTAATAGAAACCTAGAAAATATATTTAAAATTTTCACCTCGTATAAATGTGCCAAACGAACGAGCACACTTCCATCAACCAACTCCTGCATTAATAATATCCGAAGAGATCATCAGTGTGAATAAATCATAAATCATGCATACGACAAAATTGTAATATACTTCCGTCTCTTTTGAGAATTTCTTTTGCTCCATATTATCCGTCACTTTACAATTCCAAAAATGCTGCATTAATTACATATTTTTCAAATTATACCGTTATTAATTCTCCAACACTATTTCTGGATTAATTATTAAACAAGGGTACTCTGGTCTATCAATATATATTTTCCTAAAATCGAGACATATTTATTGAGATTCTTAAAACTGATGCCAATGTGAAAAAAACGACACTTATTTAGGAACGGAGGGCGTACGTAATAAATAAGAGATCAGTCAGTACCTGGAGAGTAATTAATGCAATGTTACTAGGTAAACTATAATTCGATTCCATGGTTGTGGCCTTCGTCAAATGCGATGATTTCCACGTTTCAGCATCCTGAGAAATTTAATATCGCAATTAGGTAAAATAGGTTAGTTAATACATTTTTATATTTGTGCCAAAAATTCACCAAATTTATCACCTCGTGCGAGAAGGCTAAAAGAAGTGGCGAATATATTTCCTGCCCAGTTGTTCGCCTCCAACGCGCTCCGTTACCAACCTCGTTGATGTTGACATAATAATTTCCTCGAACCTAAAAAATATACGAAAATATCAGCAACTAATTGATTAATAAACTAACTATGGTTGTCGAATAATTACGTCACGAGAAAGTTTAATTAAATAATAGCATCATACGGTAAGTCCTTCGCATGTGCTGTTGGTACAAACGGACTCGTCTAGGGCTTCACCGACTCCTCTAGAATCATCATTCATGATCCTCCTGCATATATACATTAATTTTTAATTAGAAATTTTACATTGTGGGATTTTTAAAAATACGATTACGAACAAAGAAATAAATTTAATAAACCTGTGTAGCATCAATTCAATTTCTCCATCATTAATACTAGATCCCCCAGTCGCCCGATCAACTAGAACAGACAACTCCGATTTCTTATCTTCCATGTAGATTCCAAGATTGATCTGAAAAGGGCAACGAGCATTTCATAGTCAATCGTAATTAAATTTCATAATTAGTTTTCGAGGGTACTTCCATTCATATTGTATAAATTCGAAAAAATAAATGTGGAAGTTGCATTTGAAAGTAACTTATTATTGGCACCAAACTTAAAATTAAATTACTCTGCATAAACTTAAAATATTGATAAATTAAAGTCGAGACAATTACTGGATAGTAATTCCCGGCTACTGGTTGAGTAACTGTGAGAGGCCAGTCGGCTCTGTAATCTCTCACCTGAAATTTACAAGATAATGGAAATTACTCGGACAAGAGAAACACATATAAAAAATGAAATTACGAACATATTTTCACCATTCGATTGTCACAACATGCTAAAACAGAAATTAGTTTTTCTTTTTTTTTTTCCGACACTCAAAACGAGGATTTTTGGTATCTAAATGCGATAACTGACCGCTGAGTTATGTTATGTTTGAATTATATTACCTAACTCAAGAAAATTCTTCTTGCAAATTTAAATACATAAGATATTAGAAATCAAGATACATAATGGGAAAACGTACCCGTTTAAGAAAGTCTCTGGCATTGGAATCGGTATAGAACACTTCATCGGTGACCATATTAGCTGTCAATCTTGTAATAACCTCTTTTCCAATACTATCGTCACTCGGAATAGGACCAATCTTTCGGATTACGAGTTCATAATAATAACAACATAAGTACCAAAAACAAACGGTATTTATTTTTTAGAAAATGCGACATAGATTATATAAAAGAATCACTAACCGTGAATTCAAACTCTGCATGATCTCTGTCTTTGTAAACTCTAATTATCTGAAGAAAAAAAAAATGACGACGACGAGGTTGCATTCCGTGTGAATTTAAACCTTCACAATTACTAGAGAAAAACAAAATCATTTTGTTTTGAAAATATACTAGTGGGCCCCGGATATGAAAGAGTAAGGAGAAAAAAAATATATATATGAACCTGATAAATCCATGAGCTAAATTGCTGATGAACTTCATCGACTAGTGGGCCCCGGATTATCTTCAGAGGTACCTGTAAGCAGCAAACAGGGGAAAAGAAACATTGAGCAGAAAATTAACGACCCACAACGGAAATGCCGAATAAAAAATTTGACCGATCAGCTCCGATAACTGAATTTAAAAAAAATTAAAAAAAAAAAGGGTAAATTACAACCACCCCTGAGGTATGGTAAAATTACGAAAACCCCGGTATGGTAAAATTACGAAAAACCCCCCTCCTGTTTGGGTAATTACAACAACCCCTCAACTATAAATTTTCTTACACGTTCACCCTTGCGGTTTCAAATTTAGTGGAATCTTCTTGATTATATGGAATATTATCACTTTTGTACCCGTTTTATCCCATTCGAGCACCACATTTTGAAGCAAGATAATCATAAAATGTGTTTTTTGGCTTGTATGTATCAGATTGCCGTGCATCATAAACTACTGTATTTTTACACAAAACGAGTACAAACTAGAGCACATTCCACGCAATCTAGATGATTATGTCGAATCTGACACCATAAGGGTGGAGGTGTAAGAAGATTCATAGTTGAGAGGTAGATGTAATTATCCAAACAAGAGGGGTTTTTTTGTAATTTGACCATACCTCATGGGGTGGTTGTAATTTACCCAAAAAATAAAAAATAAAAATAAAAAGAAATTTCGGGTTTCAGGTTTTCGAGGTTACTCACTGATCTAGAGACCACTGAAGGAGTCGATCCACTAGGTCGGAAAATGTATGCACCAGAAGCCTGCAAAATTCGATAATATTCCATTTTTTTAGAATTTATTGCATTCACAGTAACCGATGGTCGGTTTAACGATATCAAGGGGTCTATATAACCTGAGGATCGGCATCTCCCTGGCTTGACGAGTACCAAAGATAGCTTTGTTGTACTGGTATATCGATCTGTTATAAACATATATTAGTCACGTGCATATGAAGCGAAATTCCGGAAAAAAAAAAAAAGACTACTTTCTATTTATAGAATTTAAATGAGTCGAGGCAAATATGTTAATTACTGGAAACATCGGTAGATGCTTGCTAATAACCGTAATTGCAGCAAACAGCAAGAGATCTTACTCCGGTTTTAGAATTGTACATGCGCGTAAGTTGTCCAGTGTCAAAGAAAACGACAGTTTCAAATTTCCAGGACCGATTTCAACTGTTTCATTACTCGGAAGATCTCTGGTAGATACAATACGTCTCCTAAGTCCTGCATCCTTGAAAATTCAGAAAATAATATGATCGAACATATCGAGTAATTAAATAATTCGCAAGGTATCAATACCTTTCTTAGATTGTTTACTAGAAATGAAGTAAGTATTCCAACCCAGAGGTGGAATAGATGCCGGAAAGACGAGCCAATATTTTGCGGCCCGTTTGTCTGAAATTCCGAGATATGCCTCGATATACAACTTCCGCAGTTCAATTGTCACGTTATCCACTTGTACATATTGCGACTCGACGACATTCCCAATGGAATCTTTGACTACAAGATTACGATCGTTGACCTGTAGATTGTGAATCTATTAGTTAAACTCAACGCTACATTCCAGATTCTGTAACATCGTTCGAACAGGGGAAACGTTTCGGAGCTATAAAGGTAAATATACACAAGCGAATAATCCTATGCTCGTCGATCTATAGAAAAAGTAAACCGATTAAATAGCGAAAATTCGACGTAAATGCAATTAATTTATTTTTCTAATCCACCTTGTTGATTTCTAAACATAAGTAACAGATTTTTCAGTTAGCTACGACGAGAATTTGAGACGAGGACAATATCTTTACTCACAGGAATCCGGATAATATCACTACGGTTCCATCCAAGTGGGTTGTATGCCACAATAACCTGATACACGAAAGTTATATATAATTAAAAATAAATAAAAATTTACTTTATTTTATTTATTTTTCTGAAGAAAGACGTGACGAAGTAGGTGCGGTGCGTGAGCGTTACCAAACTCTTCCCTTGGGGAATATCTTGTTCCGTTGATGGACAGTAACTTATATTGAGCAACTGGCACTGTGTTTTGTTCATCAACAATTCAAAAGAGATAGATTAATAAAAGAGCAGCATTAGACGAGCATGATATGGTAAGCACAGAGCATAACTCTACACACACACACACACACACACATATATATATATATATATATAGGTTTAATCTCACTTTGCACCCTCAAAACACAATAAATAAATCATTCACAATGCACCCCCTGAATTGAATAATAAAGAGAATTTCATTTTTCATTGGGGGTTTTTTTTTTCCGGGTTCAAAATAAAAAAAAAAAAATTAAATCGTTACTTTATTCAACCTCCAACCTAATTTCAAGCGCACAAAATGCGAAAAAATAAAAATCGCACCGAATAATTGAAAAAAAAAACTATATTTTCTTACAAAAAAAAATAAAATAAATTTTTATCACTAAATTATTCGATTGACGGATCTTTTACTGTAATTGGTAGAAATATTTGGAAGAAAATATGATTTTCAGGTAACTTGATAAGGAAATAGCTGAAGGATTTTTTTTTAGTAAGTTCTTTTTTTTGTGATAAAAAATATGTTTTTAAATTTGTTGATGAAACTTATTTTATTTTTGGTAAGTTCTTTTTTAGTAAGTTCTTTTTTTTGTGCCTTAAAAATTCATTTGGGGTGCATTATGCATGATATATTGTGTTTCTAGGGTGCAAAATGCTATTAATTTGTTTCAAGTGTGCAAAGTGTCAAAATGGTATATTTCAAAACCAACCTGACTAAATGTCACTGTAGATGCAGTGCACTGGCCATTCGACTTCGAATCAGTCAGACACGACAAAGCTGAGTTCACTACGGTTTCTGCCTGCATAAAATTAAACATCACATTATTCATTTACAAATTCTATTGCAATTAATTTTTTTATGAAAAAATAAGAAATTAATTTCGATTTACCTCAGAGGCTCCAATAGATAAGCGCTTTGCATAGTCGTTCGTGGTATGCTGCTTAGCAGTACCAGTAACAGCATCGTGGTGCTGTGCAACTCCTAAAGCATCACCTAACGCATCGGTGTTACCCCGATTTGATCTCCTTCCCACCATAAATTCAATTTGACGAGCTGCCTATCAATGTTTTTCAAAAGTTCAGTTGTTTCGAATTTCGATGCAACCCCACAAAAAAAAATATTGCGAGGGATTACCAGAAAATATCCACTCAGAAAACGGACGAATCTTTTTAAGGCTGGGCGACTTGTGTAAAAGCCAGTCCAGTAAGCATTCGCACTGTCTGCATATCTATCGAAAAACAAACACAACTTATATTTTCATCAATAAATGTAATAAAAAAAAAAGGGGACGGCTAAAACAAATACGGTTTATTTCTTACTTCAATACCACTAACATAAAAAAACAGAAAATAAAATAGGTAATGACATTAATACCCTTGATAAAAATAGAAAATAAATAGGTATTGATTTTCATTAAGGGTAATAATGTCATTACCTATTTATTATCTATTTATTTTTTATTTTTTATGTTGGTGGTATTGAAGTGAGAAAGAAACGGTATTTGTTTTAGCCGCTCCCTAAAAAAAATAAGGTTTCTTTAATGCTTACGGAAAATAATCGTCGACTTTCAGAGGCCAAGATTCGTCAGAAGCATATTTTGCATCCGTATATAAGGACGGCGTGGAATACAACACATTAACCTGGCCATCCTGTTTTCAGTAATCACGATCACAATCATTACACGTAAATGCAAAAAGAATATTCTATTATTCTCCCTTCGGCTTTTCCTTAAGGAATAATACCTCGTTAACGTAATGAATAAGTTTGTCCATTTGCTTGAACCACGACTCAGCGTATTGGTACTGAAAGTCATCTCCCATAGTCCACATTATATGATTAGTTCTCGTCACATTGGCCTGCGTGTGTATTAAGATTTTTTATATTTTGCGATGATTATTATTAAATACTCGTTTTTTTTTTTTTTTGGTTTACCTGAGTCACTGCAGCAGCAATGAAATCACTAACGCGTGCCTCGACGTTGAAGTCAAACAGGAGAGGGTTGTCCTGCAGTTCATCAATCGGATCACCACAAAAGCAAAAAAATGTTAAATCGAGCTACAACTGCAAATTCGTAGTCAACGAACCTGGACTGGATTGTAGTCATCGTTCACTTCAAAATGAAAACCACTCGGCGGACTATAGTGAACTGGAAACGCATTCGCAAATATCTGCAAATAAACCATACCTCAAAGACGACCCGAGTCAAGCATAAAATATACATACATCTATACATATATATATATATATATATATATATATATATATATATATATATATATATATATATATATATATATATGCAATTTATTATTTCCTAACCTGAGAAGAAGGACCGAATGTCCTAGAACCCTGCCATACGACTTCAAGAGATTTATCACCTTTACGTTTTGCTCGATCTTGGTAATCAATCCGTGCAAAATGTACAGAATCAAAACCGAGCTACATAATTCAAAGAGCAATTAATCACATAACAATAAAAAAAAATGAAGTAAATATGGGAAATAAAATTTATAGTCGTTGTACGTTTGAATACCTCGGCTCCTAAGAGATAAGCTTGTACTGCAGAATGCCCGAACGGATCGATCTGCCATCCAGCACGAGGGGTCGTATTAAACTGACTCTTTATCAAGAAATGGCCAAGAGTTGTTTGGTCAATCATGTCGATATAATGAGTCGTTGCTTCGTCATGCATACACCATCCCCCGTTTCTGCACACACACAACCTCAATATTTTGTTTAGGCCAAAGCTTATACGAACGGAGCTAACAGTATCGTGTTGAATAAAATCTAATCATACACGAATTCCAATTGGCCGTCATCGACTAGCTTTCTCACTTGCTGTTGAATTTCCGGGCTCTGCTCTTCCCACCATCTACTAAAAAACGCCTATTTTGATTTCCCACAATACAGAAAGGAAAAAATTAACTTCATCAAAATAGCAACATTAATACTACCTCTGTTTCATATTAAGTGGCGTTTCGGCCAAAAAACAAGTTCCCATATTAAGTGTCACTTCAGGTTTTCAAGAAAAAAATAACTTTTTTTTTTACCAAATCTGCCCTTTAACATTGATTGTTCAAATTCATTAATTGATTACCAAGAAGGTGTTTTGACGAAGCTTATTTTAAACAGCAGATAAGCTTTTTACGTCTGATAAGCTGTTACATCTTATTTTTAGTATTAATTTTTAGAGTGTTTGGATAATGAGATTATTTCTTATTTTTACTCATTATAAGATCTTAAATAAAAAGTGGGGTAGATGTATTTTTTTTTTAAATTTTATTTGCTCTACAGCAGCTTATTGCAAAAAAAAGTTTAGATCTTTATTTAAAAATTTACCAAACACTTTGAAAGAGCTTATAAGCTCTAAAACATCTTATAAGCTTAGACAAACACCCTCTAAGAGCTCATTTAATAGTACTTGCAAAGGGTAATTTGGGGGTTTTCTATTAAAAAGTAGGCTATTAATTAGGTTTCTTAATCTGTGTACATTTTCTTTAAACACCATTTAATACGAAACGGAGGTAGTAGTAATCATAAAAAAAAATAGTAAAAAGAAAGACTCAGCTACCATTTCAGCAAATATAAACTTCCGATTAGGGTCGCGGCGCAACGCCACGACAACCGAGTCCAGTACATTTTCGACACACGCACCCTACACCGACAATAAACACAAACAAACCAAAACAAAAAATCAATTCAGAATTCAAATTGAATTAAGAACAAAGAATTAATTCAAAAAAAAAAAAGATTGACCTGAATAGAGTTATTGGATCCAACATAGTATTGATCAATAGTTTTGAGCCAGCCGACGTCATCGTGAGAGTGAGCAACTAAGTGAACATTCAATTTGCCATCAACAATTCCGCTTCCAGTATTGTAATGAATGTAGCCATCAACCCCATATGAACAAACAATGCAAATTATTAATGATGAAATTGATATTAGTGATAAACTTTCCATTCTGATTGAAAAAGCGGAAGAAAATGGTGGTGCAGTGCAGGTGTCACTATTTTAAGCAGCAACAGAGGGGAAGTGACAAATACTCATCATAGGTTTCTCCTTTTGGCCTAAGATTTAACAAACCCAACAAATAATATAATTTAATTGATGGTTTTTTGACAGTTTTACCGGACAGGATAAAATTGGGAGGATGGGTTTATTATTGGAAATATAGTTTGGTTAAAGGTTTATGGAGCGTTGTTTCTGCTGTAAAGGTTTTGTAAAAAAGATTGTGTTTATGTTAATACTTCTTGTAATGGCGGACACGTCAATGGAAGTTAAAATTAGCCCGACAGCTAGTTTTAGAGCATCCACTTGAGGGTCGGGGTGGGGTAAGGGAGGGGGAGGGCATTTAAACCTGGCTACTCCAGCTAATCTCACGCGCCGAACGCGAATATAATACGCACTCTCCATTTTTTCTCGTCTCTTTTCTGTTTGTTTTTTTTTTTTTCTTTTTTTCTTGTTTGGCAACACTATTCACATTCTTTTTTTTTTTTTTCCGGAGTTTAATGCATCAGTCTGACCAACCATCTGTACTATTCTAAATTCATGAGATATATTTCTTTCGTCAATAAGTTTATACCTTTAATATTTATTTTAAACAAAGGTAAACTTAATGTATACGACAAAATTAGCCAACCCTTTAATTAAACTCAATTTCTAATTGTAACTCCAACTTAACTTCATTTAAATCAATTTTGACCATACAAATCTAATTTTTACTTTTTCTTTTTTTAAACTTTTTTTTTCTATTTTTTTTTGCCGTCTGTTTCCGGTGTTGATTTTATTTTTTTCTATCTATTTTTTCCGCCGTTGGTCTCGGGTGTTGACTTTTTTTCCTAAAATTTTATCCAGTTTTTTACATCCGCCGCTGAACATTGACCGTAATTGTATTGTCATTAAGAGTAATTATATAATTACTGTCAACCACATCAATATTATTATTATTTCTTTAATTTTGTTTGACTTGTTGACAAGTCAAACAAAATATTATTGTCGTTCACGGTAAAATTACCGTAAACGCAATAATATACTATCAACCACATCAATATTATTTTCTTTTGACCTTTTTATTATGTTTGATTTGTTGACAGATTAACGTAATAATATTTCTGTCCACTATTGTAATATTACTATAAACACAATAATATTACTGTGGTTGACGATAATATTACCGTCATTACAGTAATATTATTGTGGTTGATAATAATATTACTGTCAACCACATAAATATTAATTCTTTTGGTTTTTTATTATGTTTGATGTTGTTGAACGGTCAACATATTAATATTACTTTATTACACAATATGGTGATTTTTTTCTGTTAATATCAATGTGCTAGAGAGTAATATTGTAACACCCCACATTGTGAAAACCCTAAAACCCGAATTTAATATTCCTAATTCGAGAATCCTTATGTGATATTATTAAGTGAAATTAATTATGTGACTTACGTGAGTAAATATATATTTTATTTAATTGATAGATTATTCTATATGTTAAAAATTTGGTAAATACATGAATGAATTAATTTACCCTGAATTATATTTTCTAGGATTTATTACTAAGTGTGACTAAAGTGTGTGTGTGTCTATATATATATATATATATATATATATATATATATATATATATATATATATATATATATATATAGATATATATACACGGTGGATATATGCAAGCGCATTTTTTTATTAATTCAAACTCGCATAAAGGGCCTATTAGTTCAAGCCTGTAAATTAATCTCATTTTATTACATCAAGACCAAAGAGGACGAATATACCCTTATCCACAAATAATACCCAAATACAAACAAACCCTGTTTTTTTATTTGTTCAAAACCAAAAAAAAAAAAAAAAAAAAAAAACAAAACGAAAAGGAAAAAAAAAAAGAGAAAAACTCACGACTGCCGCAGCTAGACCGCCGCCAGACCACCGCGACGCCGACCAGCGAGACTTCCACCGCGCCGGCGACGAACAGTGACCCACCCACCGAACCACCACCACCGCACCATCACCTCCACCGCACCACCACCAACATGTAAGTCATGTTTACTAAACTTTTGTTTGTAAATTCGAAAACATTAATAATCAAGCATCGATTCTTGATAAATATGCGTGGATGAACATTAATCTATGTTTATTTCTTGTTGGGTTGCAATGCTTTAGCCGATTTCGGAAAAAAAAATTGAGATTGAAATTGTTTTTTTGAGTGTTTTCATTGGTTTCCCAAATCGGTTTACCCAGACCGATTTTGTACACGAAAATCGGAGTCATAATGCCGATTTTTGTTAACCAAATTGGCGACACAACGTTGACTTTACAAGTCAAAATCGGCGTTGTAATGTCGATTATTGAATACAAAATCGGTTTTCGGATACTGATTTTTTTTCGGTTTTTTTTCCGTTTCTTTTTAATAAATAATATATTATATATTTGGTTAATTAATTTTTTTTTAAATGTTTTGCAGTGGAACCTCAACCTCCTCGTGTACCGCCGACAGACTCAAACCACTAGACGTTGGGCCGGATCCAAAGCAGCTCGACCACATGTACCACGATCCAAAGCAACTCGACCACCGCAAGATGTTGGGTCGGATCCACCACAATCGAGGGAGATGAAGATCTTTGACATGGTTAGGGTAACTCTCACCAACATATGTCAAATGGACGTTAGTGATGCTTATAATGCAATGAGATCGTAGCATTATTTGATGAGACCCCATCGACCGTCCTACCGTCTTCATCAGCTCCTCCACCGACATCTTCACCACCGCCCCCATCGGCACCATCTTCGACAGTGGCCCCACCTGCAGACCCACCACGTAAGGTATTTCGAAGGACGGCGGCGATGAAGAAGTAGTGTTTTGTAGTATTTTGTTGTATTTTGCGAAAACAATTTTATTATGCATGTTATTTATAGGTTTTATTTATTTTTTTGGAATTGATCATTTGGATTGCAAATTGGTTTGTATTTCATTTTGATGGTTTTATTATGCTATTAATGATGTATTAGTCACACATGATAGTAATCATACATTGGGAAAAAAATTAAAAACAAAAAAACAAAAAACCGTGAGATATCAGTACTGGAGAACCGATTTTTCATTCAAAAATTGGTGTTCAAGTACCGATATCTCTCGGTTTTTCCAAAATTTTTAACAAAAAATCCGTGAAATATCGGTACTTGAGGACTGATTTTTGTTAGGTAGAAAATTCATCTGAATAATCCTCCATGAATCCCCTAGGTTGCAGCAAAAAAGTATGGGAAAACGGTCTTAAAAAAACACCAAATAAATTGGTACTTAAAAATTTGGATGACAATACCGATAATAGAAAAATAAATCGGCGTTGTCATGCCGATTTGTACTACAAAAATAGGTTTTTAAACTAATCGGAATGTGGTTGCCGACTTTCTTAACAGAAATCGGTATTTGTAAACCAATTTTTGGTATCGTCGACTTTTTTTCCCAACAAAAAAAAAACGACCCAAAAGCAAAAATAAACAATTAAAACATACTTCATTGTGTTCTCCATCCTCGTAAACCACCATATTATTGTTTTCTGGCTACATCGTGAATGTTTGGTGTGTATTTGATAATTTTGGTGTATAGTGTTTCTTGGTGGATTTTTTCTGCACATGAGCGATAAAATATTTTTGAAGCGCACGATTTGCTTCTAAGAATCATATTATGTGACGACGCATTATATAATCATGTACTGATATACCGTTCGTTCTCGGATTCAAATCTAGCTCGACATTTGTATGTAAATAGTAGCACGATACCTACCGAGATGTGGTGGGGTTGTCATCATCACCTAAACCACCATTAACGTATTCATCTCGTTCATCCTCAATAATCATATTGTGAAGTATGATCCATGTTATCATAATATTTTTATGTCGACCGGATTCCATCTCCTTCCAGACTACTTTATAATTGTGAAGCGAGCTTGAAGAATCCTAAAACCACGTTCAATATCCTTGCGATATGCTTCTTGCAATTTTTAGAATAATTGTTCTTGATACGTACGTGTTTGCTTAATGGATTGACTTAACATAGCCCAATTAGAATATATATCATCAGCGAGATGCTACGTCATCATATAATGGTCTATACTACATATCTAAGTGAACTCATGGGAAATTTCCATTGGTGGGCTTATCGAACAAGGGTGAGAAACCAATGACAGTGAGATGGTTCTGGGCACCGGATACCCGGATACGCAAAGATGGCATATAAAATTCAAATGCCGGATGAAGCTACTACTTCAAGCGAATAAATATGGATTTATATATTTTTCTAGAAAATTTCCCTTACCACGTAGTTGGATAATTTCATATCCACTGCATATAGTCCAGTGAAATGATCATTCCACAGAAATCCACGTTGTTCCGCTTTGTCAAGAAGACTTGTAAGATCCGCATTGATCAGGACACAAAGGTACTCGTTTTGGTAGAAGTGATATTTTTCTTCTTGAAAAAATTGCACATAGTTTTTTTATTATGGTTGTTTCTCCCATATGGAAAGTTTCGCCAATCTCAATACTCGAGTACGCATAAGCTAACATACGCATAGCATTTGTAAACTTTCGGATGGGAGAAAATCCAAATTAATCCGTAGCATCAATTGTTTTCTTTTGTTGGAAAAATTGGATTAGAACGGTCACAATTCTAAACCAAACGTAAGTATACATAACGATGCATTTGCTATTGGCGTCTAAAGTCCCATGCATCATAATTAGGCAAGTCAACAAAATAATCAACCATGAGTTGTTCGTACTTACCTTTTTTTTAGGGCAATATATAGTTTACACCCGTGAACTATAAGTGTTGTATCAATTTGTCCCCTGGACTATAAAACGTCTCAAATACCCCTCTTATGGTCAACCATTAAATTATTAACACCTTTAATTTAAATGTGCAATTACTTCTCTGCCCTTGGGGGTTTGTTGTAAGAAACTTAATAATTATATAATTAATACGTGTTGTATTTGTCGATTTTGTTATGAATTTGTGATTGAAGTGAATTTATGGTTTACATGATTTTCTTAATTGTGTTTAATTTTTGGATTCAA